TCACTTCTAATTTTAGAGCAAAAATATCTCCTCTGGATAAAGATTTGCCGACGCTTCTCCTTTCTCTGCCTTTCCAAATCTCCGAAGGACCGAGGAAGAAGACCGACAACTCTCCACCATCAGGTCATATTCTCTCTCTTATCTCTATATCTATCTCTCCCTCTTTCTCTGTTTTGAATCTGATGGCGTTTTGACAGAGTCTAACCCACTGTGGAGCTTCTCTTCCTCAATAGCATAGACGGAGAAGACAGATGAAGAGGACGACGGCGGTAAATATATATGAGCGACGGGGGTTTTCTTGCGACATTCACCACCACCACCAGAAGTTAAATCTCCTGGGTACTTTCTCTTCTTAGTTCATTCTTAGGGTTTCGATATGTTTTTTTTAGGTTTGGGTTTGGATTTGTCTTTACTATATGTTTCTGGGTCTAGGATTTGATTTTGGTTGATTATATGTTTCTGTATCAGTTGTCCCTTATTAAGATCTTGATTCAATTCGATTTGAGCGTTTCAAATCAGGAAAGGAGTTCCTAAGTTCTTGAGACGTGTTGACACTACTATTTTGGGCTCAGAAGCGATCTCTATGGTAAGCACAATATTAAGTTCTGATTTCTCTAAATTTAGGGTTCTAGACGTTCGTTTTATTAATTCTTAATGATCATGCAATTTTCTTTTGCTGCAATTAATAAGTTGAGTTTTCATTTTTTGTTCGTTTAGTAACTTTTTATGTCCATTATATATGCTATGGTTGTGTATGAACAGATGGAGGCAGCAAACTACTCCTAGAAGAACCATCAACCAATGTAGTTTTTTTTTTCAGATTACATCTCATCTGAGAAATGAGAAGATATCACAGATGTTGATGAATCTCCAAGTAAGCTAAACACACATGAACCAAAAAAAACTTCAACCTTCGTGTAGACGATGGTAGTATCTCACTGTAATTGCAGGGACTGGCTATACCCTGGAATTTTCAACTGAAGACATGTATGTGATTAGAGTTTTGCTTACATCATCGCAAGTCAAAGTTATTAATTTGTTGTGTCTCTTACTATCCGTTCAACAACCTTTTCTATACTACAGTATTGTTTTTTTTTATTTTAATTTTAATGTTAGCAACCCTCGATATAAGAGTTACAATAATATAGTATGTTGTGTGTGGTATTCTAGGTTAAATACTAGAAGATATGATGAGTGTAAGAACAGTTTGATGTCATATGATCCATTGTATAGGGAAGCATATGAAGGAATTTGGACTTAGGTAAGTGAAAGCTCTGTTATGAGTTTTTTTTTTGTTTATCAGTTTAGGTTTCTTGGTTGTTACAGCTGAAAATCTGAAAGCAGATTTATATGTTTAATACAGCATTCTGCCATTACCTTATCAGGTATCGTTGAAGAATACTCCACAGTTTTCGGCAATGTAGCTTCCCAGCTTCTTCAGAAAACTTTGGTCTCACAAAGAATAAACTTCTCAAAAGGAAAAACCGTGGACCAGCTTTGATTGGCAAACATAACATGTTCCAGGAGAGTAGCAACATGATCTGGTATTTAAACAGGAGCAGAGATACTGACAGCAATGTGACTGTATTTCTCATACACATGTGAAATATCTTAAAGTTAAGCTAGAATGAGAGTGTATTAGGTAATTTTACTAAGTATCTAAAAATTTCAGCTCTCTTGATGTTGTACGGCTATTGTATTGATGATATAATGATAAAGGTCCTTACATCTTTATCTCTAAGTATCCTTATCGTTATAAAGGTCTTCTAGGATGATCCACTGCCTATGCTCTAAAAGACTGTGTCGTCCAAAATAGGAAGGATTGATGTCTGTGTACATGGAGTCTCGAAGAAAATTTTTGAGCAAAGAAAAGTCATTATAGATTGTAAATATACATTAAGCAATGACTTATCAGATTACTGGGTCAATGAGTCAACCATAGATTAATAAATGGATTAATATTATTAGATAACAAAATATTAGCTATGGATTAATAAATGGATTAATATTATTATATAACAAAAGATTAGCTATGAAAATAAAAATAAAGAAACTAAAGTTTAATATTTTCTAAATATTTTTTAGAACATAAATTAATAGTTTGGATATATATATATATTTTATGTTTAAGAAATTAAGAAAATACTTAACTGTAGTCTTATATTTTTATATTTTCGTTCGAAATTACAGAATTAGTTTAGACTATTTAATTTTCTTTTGGTAACAAGTTAAGAGTTATAACATCTAAAAGAATCAAGAAATAAAATTCATAAATATTTAAATTTCTAATGTGAATAATAAGTTAAACTTCAAATTCAAAAAAAAAAAACATCATTGTAATAAATTGTCAATAACAAAAATAAACTAACACCAAATAACATCAACTAATTTTGGTTTACTCTACTAGCGTTCGCTTTATTTTTTTCAGGAGTCATAAATATACAATTGAAAAGTGCAAATTTAACTTTTTAATTGGAAATTTAAAATATAAAACAAATATCTATAACATAATTAAAAACTAAAAGAAAAAGTAAAGTTACCTATTGGTTCAACCGGTGGTTCAACCGGTATCAGGTTTTGGGTTTTAGTAGATTTTCGCGGTTTTTTGTGGGTTTTTAAAGTTAATTTGGGTTTTTTCACAAAATCTAAACCGAATTTTTTTTTGGTCACCAGATTTATCGGTTCAACCGCCGATCTGGGTCGAGTTTCAAAACACTGATGCAACCAAACACTACAAATGCACCTTATTAGAAACAACAGAAAAGATGATAAAGGAAGGTATTATTTAAGAGATAATGAAGATGACATGTAATTTATTCATGGAGAGAGCCGCACATATACGAGTCAACAGTTTAATTGACTCTTACCAAACCAAAATCAACAAAGAAAAATACCAAGAAAAGTGAAAAACACTTAACAAATATTTTCTTTAATAGGCTGCAGTTCCAAAAGTCATGTCCCAAATTTGTTTTTCTGCTTAATGTTATAATCCTTAAGCTTCATAGTTTATTCCACACCATCTTTCTTAATAAAAAAACTGCCAGTAGAGCTTGGTTCCTAGCTTTTATAGCATGATAAACCTATTGTTTTTAGCAAAATTATTACTTATTAAATCATAAAGCTAACTATTTTGTATAGTGATTTGTATGTCTTAGGATGTATTTATATGTATTCTTTGTTTGATCGGTTATAAAAAACGAGTCGGTAATTGAATAATGTACTTGAAAATTTATTGATGAAGTTTTAATATTATCCCTCACACATTGCAGTTTTTACAAATTCACATGGGTCCTGCTAGCAACAACTCTTCCAGACAATGGGAACATATAAACTATGCAACATGGAAAGATACCGACCATCATGGGTTTCTGAAACTGTGAAGCTGGAGAGTATTGGAACTGATCGATGTTTGTGATGTAGTGACAGCTTCCACAGTTTTAAAAGCTTAAATTTTAAAACAAAAAGTAAATAGACTATGAAAATAAAAATATTTTTTCTTAAAATCACTTGATTTTTAGATTAATTCTGTGGAAAGGAGCTTAATTAACAAAAATTAATTATCTGAAAACACTAAAAAGTCATATATTTTAAAAATTAAAAAAAAAAACTTACTAATAACCTTCAAAACACCATTGTATTATTCTTAACAGTTATGAAATTTCAGGAAACTATTCAATAAAAACTTAACTGTTTACCTTTTATCCAGGTACTTACAAAAAAATATTTATTAGGCAATATAAATTAGAAAGATATAATAAAAAATTAGTTAGGAAATCAAAATTTTAAATGATTGGAGTTTAACTTATTGTTTAATGTAATAATTATATTAATAATATAATATGTATTTTAATAGTTACTTAAGTTTTGCATTCTAATAAGTTAAATTTCATTTTAATAATACATATTTGTCAAATCTTAAAATAAATTAAAATTTATGAAAATAAATCCGGGCGTAGCCCGGAAAACGCTCTAGTTTTTGTAAATAACATTGAACAATGCTAATGTTACAAACTTGCTTTTTTTTTTTTTTTCACAAACTTGCTTTTGTATCGTCACATTTAGAAAAATGCAAATAAAAGATGTCGTGTTATCCACACTAGATTTGTTTTTACTGCAACGTTTACATGTTGATCCTTCATTTATTTACGAGTTTGCAACTGAAAGTGCAGATTGCTCATTAACGGAAAAAAATAACAATGAAATCAACCTGATTAAACAAATCTTAAAAGCTTACACAAAGAAGTTCTTGGCCGTATCTAGCTATGACTGTTTTGAGTGATAGTAGAGAAATGAAGTTCCTAACAATAAGATCCATGGAGAGGATTTGAAGGGTGTGAGTGGATTTGTAGGTGAAGGCAGTGTAACCAACTCATTAATTAAACAACATCAATGTTACCAACTCGTTGGTTCACTGTGGTTCTAGTGAACGAGGTGAAGATTAATATGTGACTCGAAGCTGGGCTCTTAATAGCCTGATAGAGATGCACGTGCGACCCATAGCCCAGTTTTTTTTTTCTTTAACGAGTAGCCCAGTTTCTTAATTTTTGGACTATACACTATACAACTTTTTTCTGATACTATGCACCCCCTAAAATAGAAAGAAATAGCTACATACAATAGCAGTTAATCCAAAAAAAAAGCTACATACAATCAACTTGATAGTAGTATTCAAAGGCAGAAAAATACACAACAATTTCACTTTCATAGTGACATGTGTCGATGACATGCAAATTCCTCACGGTCTCACCTACTTTAATAGCCTAGAGAGATATCCAAATTCAAAACCTTTACAAAAATCAATTACACCAATCACAATCTCTACTAATTGAAATAATTAATCACAACTTGAAACTGACATCTCCACAAAATTAAATTCAGATATACGAATAATCACGCAACTGATTAAAAACTTTTTTTAAAGTAAACATTTTGGACCCACGAAACTTGTAGCGTCGCCATTTCACGTTCCCCGTTCCGTTTCACGAAACATAAAGAGTACGAAACTTGCTTTGATCCAATCCAACCATCGTTTTCTTCGAGATTCACACAGTGATGGCGTTTTGGAAGCTGAGCTCAGGAGACGCCACGGGATTCAAGTTCCTATTCTCAATCGCTTTCCTCTACGCTCTAATGGTATCGATTGCTTATTGCGTCCTCCATATGAAACACATCTCCCCGCTTCCCTTTGACGCGCCTCTGGATCGATTCTCGGAAGCTAGAGCCGTTGAACACATCCGCGTATTGGCTGAGGAGATCGACGGTCGTCAGGTTGATTCGACGTCGTTTTACTCTCTCTCTATCTCTCCTTTTCTTATTCGGATGATGATACTTAAATTGGATTTGTAGGAGGGACGTCCTGGACTTAGAGAAGCTGCAACGTACATTAAATCTCAGTTGGAGATGGTGAAGGAGAGAGCTGGGCCTAATTTAAGGTTCGCTTTTTTTTTTTATTTGAATGAATTTAGAGAAAAAAGTGGTGTCACGAGTTTGTTTAATGAAATGTTGAGGTTTGTCACTTCACATGGCATTCAATAAATGAATTAATTGGTTTCAGCATATCAAAAAAGAATGTTTCTTTTTAATTATCTGAGCTGAGAAATGAATGCTTGTTGTTGTGTAGGGTTGAGGTGGAGGAGACACAGGTGGATGGCTCCTTTAGCATGATGTTTCTTGGCCACAGCATTTCATTGGGATACAGAAACCATACTAATATACTTATGCGGTATTCTTTTCTTAAACGCCCAAAGTATTCTTACTTTAAATTTGAAAAATATTTTGTTCTAGGTAGAATTGCACTTACCCTTTACTTGTTAAGGCAGTACATTCAGTTTTTTCTTTTCTTTTGGGTTCTCTAGTTTGGCTGATAACGTTTCAGGTCTACTGTGTTAGTAGATTTTCTGGTTTGTATTTATTGTTCAGGAGACTTTACAGTTTGTGTCTTATAATTCACTTTGGGCCTTCCTTGTTTGTGTTATTTTATTCAGTCATCAATCGTCTGCAAGTGCAACATTGAATGATTGTGTCCCCATTTATTAATTGCTAAACATTTGACCATTTTTCTTTTCCTTGCAGTATTTCGTCGATGCATTCTCTTGACACGGATGCATCTGTATTGATGAATGCACATTATGACAGTCCTGTTAACTCCCCTGGAGCTGGTGACTGTGGGTCATGTGTAGGTGTGTTTGGTACATTTCTTTAGATTATCCTTCTAAGCCAGTAGATCATGGTTGTGTGTGTTTTTTTTCTTCTATTTGCAGCATCACTACTTGAAGTAGCTAGACTGGTAGTGGATTCAGGTTGGGCCCCGCCTCAACCTATAATCTTTCTATTTAATGGTGCTGAAGAGCTTTTTATGCTGGTAACACATTTATTGTGCTTAGTACCATTTCACATGGATTATTGTTTTATTTGGTAAATAGGATGAGGTTTATGGTATAGTCAGGTGATGAAAATAAGTTGATTTTTGCATGGTGGTGTGGCTTTTTGTCGTGTGTTTAGGGCTCACACGGCTTCATGACGCAGCATAAGTTGAAAGACACCATTGGAGCTTTTGTAAACGTGGAAGCTTCTGGGACAGGGGGTGTCGGTAAGCTCTGCTCTATGTTTTATGAGTATTACCTAAGACACGTGTGTCAAAGTATTAATGAATAAATCCTTTTTACTTATGACAAGGTTCTTTCTCTACATGACAATGATGTTCTTCTTAAGTTTGATTTTCTCTTTATCTTTTCTGTGATTGAAACAAAAATTTTAAACATCTGTCTCCACCATTGCCTTATACATGTAGAAAAACTTCTCTTGCAACATCCTGTCTCTAGGAATTCATGCATACACATTCGTTATCCGTTAGACACTTGGATTAATGTGTATCAGGCTTATTTTTGACAGTTCAAGTCTTTGCTTGTCAGTGAGTATTATTTTAACTTCTTATTGTGCTAATTGCTCGTACGTTTGGCTTGATATTGATGGTTGGCAGATCTGGTCTGCCAATCCGGACCTGGATCGTGGCCTTCCAATGTCTACTCTCAAGCAGCAGTATATCCAATGGCGCAGAGTTCTGCACAGGTTTCTCTCTCCCGCTCTTGCGCTCTATGACAGACATGGACGCTCACACACATCTTCTCTTTTTTTTTTCCTAGTGATAGTCGGTTCAATGATACTGTATCCAACCATTTTATTTCTTGTCAGCTGTATCGCTGACTGTAAGTTGTTCTGTGAAATTCCTCAGGATGTTTTCCCTGTAATTCCCGGAGACACCGATTACAGAATGTTTTCAGATGATTATGGCGACATTCCCGGGCTAGACATAATCTTTCTTCGAGGCGGTTACTACTACCATACTTCCTTTGATACAGTTGACAGAATATTGTATGCATCATTTTGGTATATATAATTATGGTTGTATTTCCTTACTATTGTTTATTATTTAGTACGACCCTCGTTTCACAGACTATGTTAAAAACAGACCTGGAAGCATGCAAGCACGTGGAGAAAACTTAATCAGTGTACTTAAAGCCTTCACGAGTTCTTCTAAGCTGAAGGTTGCTAGTGAAAGAAAGTCGCTTGACATGGATGCTAACAAGGACATGGTTGAAAGAGCTGTTTTCTTTGATTACTTAACACTGTTCATGGTGTGTGCTTTTGGCTCTGTTCATTTTATAGCTTGTTTACAGTCTCTTGACAAGCTGAAATCATGGAATCTATCAGGTGTATTATCCAAGAAGAGTTGCCATGGTACTTCACAACTTTCCAGCTGCGTTGTTCTTTTTTGCTCCTTTCTTCCTGTATATGCGGGACCCTGAGATACACCCGTTGTTATCAATCTTCTGGGCATTTTTGAAAGGTAAAACAGAATATGCAATCGTTTGTTTTTTAAGTATTTTTTGTTATCATGTACTATTTTCCTCCTTATGAGATGTTTTGGAGATTTAACGATTTTAATCGTTGCCTTATAGGAGTTATACACCATACCGCTGGGATTTTACTTGGTGTCATATTCCCCGTTCTCTTTTCAGTCATCAGATTGTTCTTTGCTTTTCCCATGAGCTGGTTGGTTTTATATACCTTTTTAAGTTGTTCCAAACTGTTGAGGCTTAATTGGTAGGGGAGACTTACTATACTTGTTGTGGAAATGCAGGTTTGCTCATTTATACTTAGCTTTCTTGATGTTCATCCCCTGCTCATTTTTCGGTCTTTTACTTCCGATAACTATCTCTGATCGTGTCGCACATTGTCAAGGTGTTTCATCTAAGAAGATTATGAAAGTTGTAAAGTCCTTATTCTTCCTCTTGGCTCATTCGCATCTCTGTTTATTACTAGATAAGTATGTTTAACTATGATATTGTAGGAAACACGTGTTGAAGCGAGGTTTTGGGGAGCATTTGGGCTCTACGCTTTTGTAACTTCGGTATGCACTTTTGTTTTATCAGTTTAGTTTACACCTTACCTCTAAATTTTGTTATTTGTTATGCTGATCCATGACTAACTGGATAAACGTTTTCAGGCACATTTCTTCGCTGGATTAAATGGAGGATTCTTGACATTTGTAATTTGCATTTCTATGCTACTTGGGTGGATTGTTTTCTGTTTATCTGTCAAGTCCTATGGCCATGATTCGTTCAAGTAAGACTTCTAGTCTTTCAGTGAGTTATGAGTGTTGTACCTAAAATTATTTAACATTTGTGACGCTGAGGATACATTTAACTTAAAAAATTCTTGGGCATAGGACAAAAAAATCTTTAGCAAATAAGATCCCTGTTCATAAACTTGATTTAAACAGCAGTCTATATTTTCACCTCTGATAATTCTTCTCGGTGTATTTCTTCTAGACGACATAACTTTCTTTTAAACTGTTGTGTGATAAAAGTTCATCTCATCCAGGTCTCCCATGTTTTATGTGATAGCACTGGTTCCGTGCCTTCTGTATTCCGTGTATTTTTGTGGTATTCTTGCACTACTTCTGATTGAGAAGACAGGAATGATGGGAGCAGTTCCACCACCTTATGGTATGTTTTACTGAACTCAATTCTTGTATCCTGTTTTCAGCTAATCGATTCACGGCATTTGAGAAGGCCTGTTGCAATTGCAAGTCCCTGCTAAGATAATTTCTGCACACGATCTCGCTTTGCAGGTTTTTATCTTGCAGATGTAGCAGTAGCTGCAGTCATTGGAGCTGTCACTGGCTTGTGTGTGGGCCCAATAATACCAATCTGTAGTGGTTGGCTAGCCAAAGCTTCGATCTTGAAATTCTTGCTGCACTTCACTGTGGTTATGTTGGCGGTATCGTCACAGTTATTTCCTTATAGCAAAGATGCACCGAAGAGAGTTGTACTGCAACACACATTCTTCTCTGCGGGTAGCCTGTGCACACCCAAGATGGAATTGTTATCCTATTTTTTCTTCCTTTTCTATGTAATCTTTTGCTAAATTGAAGTAAATGTTTTAAATTGGCCTTTGCAGGTGGAAATGAAATCACAGGTTCAAGTTACGATTTAGCGGTCATTGATTCAAATTCCATGGAGTTCATTTTTAAACATGCTCCGGAGGTGGCTGAGGAACTTCATGCTGGCCCTTCTTTTTCATTGGGCAACACTGAAGTGTCTCCTCAAGAAGCTTGGCTGGTACGTTGGTTAGACTCCCGCTTCCTTAGATGCTGTAGACAAGTTAGTAAGTGTTTTTTTCGATTTGGAGTAAAGAGTTGTTTGGTATCTGCAGGCACTTTTCCCTATATCCTGCGTGGTAACAACAAATGGGAGGTTCCCTGCCAAACCCAACAAGATTTTGGAACGATATAGCCAATTACCGCATTTAAAAACTCATAAACCGCCAACAACATTTGATAATGGAACTCGTAGGGTTTATCTGGAACTCTCTCTGGGGTTAGTTGGACTAAAATCTCTAAAAAGACTCCAAAAATAAACTTTTGTTCGGTCTTGTTTTGCTATTAACTATAGCCATATTACATTTTCAGCTCGTTGGAAGAGATCTGGGTCTCGGTTCTGAACGTAACCGGGCCACTATCAGGATGGTCTTTTGCAGATGGCAAACCTCCAGGTCAGACACAAAGACCTCTCTCCCTTTTTCTTTCTCTTTCCAATTCATTTACTAAAAAGCCATCAAGCCGAAATGGTCTTATCATTGCAGCTCCTGAACACCCTTCGGGTGGGCCTCCGTCTTACATACTGAGACTGAGTGGCAACAGCAGTGAGAAGTGGATCTTCTGGTTAGAGGTAAGAACAAGTTTTAGGTTCTAAAAGCCCTTTAGTTAAGGGTATTCGGGACTGAATCCAAGGTTGATTATTGGCAGGCTAATAGCAAAGAAGAATTGAGAGTAGACTTGGCTGTTCTTGATCAACGACTTGACGAAGAAACTACACGTTTGAAAAGTTTGTTCCCTGGTTGGTCTGATGTCATTGCCTACAGTAGCTTTCTTTCTTCTTACTCTTTCTAGTCTCTTTTTTTTTTGAAGCTCTCTTTTTAGTCTCCCCACTTTGTTTTTTTCGTTTCCTTGTAGAATAATAATAACCCCTTCTTAGCACGAAGTAGGGTTCAATGTTTTTCTTATTTATTTATATAAAAGATATTTATGATTTTTAATAACATATAGTCCAGCAACAATTCAACCTTTGCTCATGTTGCAGTTTCTTTTCTTACAAACCCTTGGCTTGATTCATCTTCTTCACCGCTTCTTTGTATGGTACCTTTTTCTCTGTGCTCACCAACTTGTACCCGTAAACGCCAACATACAGCCACTACATCAGAATCCAACTTTCTGATGTAAATCTTAGTAAACTTTTTTTTCCATATGCAACATGAATCTAAGGACTTGGGGATTCAAAAATCTAAAATACATCACTGGTGGGAATCCAAACTAGTCTGTCAACGTTTTGTCATGGAACATTAGGTTAGTTAACTTTCTGTACAAGTTAATTTAGTAAACCAGAAATTTGAAACAATGATGCGATCTTGGCCTGATTTTGATTTGGATTTTAAGTTGGAGCATTATTAATTTTAAAAAGGAGAAAAAAGGAAAGTAAAACTGTAAATAAAGTCGGCCTTCACTTGATAACAAAAAAAGAAAAAATAAGGTCGGTTTTCAAACCATTATCTCGATCTTCCACAAACCTAAAGTCTTTATATTATATAACAAACGCATACACAAACTAAATTTGCAAAGTTTTCGTCTCCACAAGAAAAAACTAAACCCTAACTAATCTCTTTCTCTCTTACAATTAGTCATGGCAAGAGCTTCTAAAACAATCAGATTCATCATCGTGTTCCTCTTGATGACGTTCTCTGTGTTGTCTTGTGAGGCACGTGTTCGGTTCACTCATACTGATCGCACGAGTACTGACACCGTTGACAAAGATGAGAAGCAACTACAAGACCCTCCCAAGAGATTTGTTCAGGTGGAGACGAAAGTTTTAACGCCGCGTCCTGGTCGCTACCCAGCCAGAATTGAAGACCACGTCAATTTTTTCATGGAATCTGAGCTGTTCACTTTTCCAACAATGATGCGTAATGTCGAAGCTTCTCTCTCGAGGATGCGTTGAAGCCAAGAATCTCAAGATCGTGTTCTTCGCTCAGTATTTTTGTATTATTATTGTTTCTCTTTTCTTACCATATACAAGAACAATGTCAATGATGTATTCGATTGTTTTTGTTCCTTACAATACAAAGATAGTGAAACCTAAAAATCACGTTTATGCTCACTACGTAATGTCGTGATATCGTAAGAATATCGAGTTTATATTGATACGAAAAGATAATTCCGTATGGATTATTACGTAACCAAGTTCAACACTATCGTTATCTTTTATCACGTAATAATAAATAGACTGCAGAGGGAGAGGCGAGCTGATCGTTAGCTTGAGACTTGTTCGTATTGTTGAGAGGAAGAACATCTGCCAGAGCTTAAAATTGAGTCGTGTTTCCCTAAGCTGCTCGCTCTGTTTATTTTACTTTTTTATCAGATAATTTAAGTGTAAGATCTTATAATATCCTCTAATTCTATTTTTTTTATGAGATCTCAAAATAAAGATCTTATAATATCAAAACTCAAGGTTAAATCCTCCAAGGCCATCTGCATAGCGAACTGCAAGGGTGAGGTTCATAAGTAATATTTTTGATTATTTTATTTTCTTGTTTTCTGCTTTATTTAAAAAGAAAAAATTAGGAAACGAACCAATCACGGACCACCACGTATCGTGAGGCCGGTGAAACAGTTACGGTACGGGTTCACGTGGGAGACCCTCTGCGAACCGAATTCATCACTTCTAATTATTATATTCTTTTTTTTTCTTGGGGATTGTGTGAACCTTTCTTAAAAACTTCTAATGGGCTGGGCATGCCCTAACTCTATCTACATAGAATTTTTATTTCAAAAAACTAATAGTATTATTCCACATCAATATTCAATTAAATAAGATTTTCAAATTATAAAATTATGCATAAGTTAAAGCTATGTTTGTAAAATTCGTACCAAATTCCGAACTCAATTCTAAGATCAATAATAAACCCATTAAACATATCAACAAACAACACACTAATTATAATACCATACTAACTTTCATAGGTTTTCTACTCAAATATAAAACCGTAAATATTAAAAGTTAATGGGTTAATTCGGGAAAGCCCATGAAGTTATCTCCTAGAGACAAAAATAAGGCCCACATTAACTAGGGTTTCGCTATTTTTAAGGGTTTATGCCGTTTTCACATATATAGTCTCTTCACAACTATCTTCCCATCTCTTCTGCAGCCGATTCTTCTGTTAGCCGCAGCCATGGTAACTAGCTTAAGCTTCTCACACTCTCTCTTAGAATCGCCCTTCTGATTCTCCTTTTCTTTCTTGATATTCTCGCAGGTGAAGTACTCGCAAGAACCTGACAACCAGACCAAGTGTAAAGCTCCTTTAAAACAAAACAATTCACAGTACCATTTGTATCATTTTGTAGATTTTTTTGATGTGAATCTTTGTTTGTTTGATATTTGCAGCTTGCAAGGCTAGAGGATCCGATCTTAGGGTTCACTTCAAGGTATATCTCTTTCGAACATCTTTTAGATTTCGATTTAGTTGAGATATATGATCAGAGGAAGGTTAGCTTCTTCGTGCGTAGTTAACCAAACCTGATTGAGAAAAAGCAGAGGTCTGTAGTAATTTACAGATCTCACGTATACTTCAGGGAAATTGAATTGGTCATTGTGAATGGGTGAATCTTAGTTTCATTTTCTTATAGCTATAAAGATTCAGTACATGATGGTACATTAATTAATACGTTGTTGCCATTGTTCTTGGGTGATCCTATCTGGAATCTTAGTGACTAGTAGTTTAGTAAATGATGTAGCATTTCTAGTTTTGTTCTTACAACTCTGTGTTTGTTTTCTTGTTCTGTTGATTGGTTCTCATAGTGTTTTATGTTTATTTGAAACAGAACACTCGTGAAACAGCGCACGCTATCAGGAAGCTACCATTGCTCAAGGCCAAGAGGTACCTTGAGGATGTGATAGCTCACAAGCAGGCTATTCCCTTCACCCGTTTCTGCAGAGGTGTTGGAAGGACTGCTCAAGCTAAGAACAGGCACTCCAATGGTCAAGGACGTTGGCCTGCTAAATCTGCTCAGTTCGTTCTTGATTTGCTCAAGAATGCTGAGAGCAATGCTGAGGTGAGATTGTTACTTCTCTTCTTACTTGGATGTGTAGAAGCTTTTGTTTTGCTAAAACACGCATTTTCACGTTGGTTTCGTTCAGGTGAAAGGTTTGGATGTTGATGCTCTCTTCATTTCGCACATCCAAGTGAACCAGGCAGCAAAACAGAGGAGAAGGACTTACCGTGCTCATGGAAGAATCAACCGTAAGTTTGAGTTTTCTTAATTGTCTGAACATGTTTCTCTCTTGGGTACTGATTGGTTCTTTTCTTGGTTTTAGCTTACATGTCCAACCCATGCCACATTGAGCTGATTCTCTCAGAGAAGGAAGAGTCCGTCAAGAAAGAGGTATTTGAGTTATACTGTACCTTAATCTCGTTATCTTGTGTCTTAACAAAGAGTAATTCTCAATTTGTGTATGTTTGTTTTTTATAATTGCAGCCGGAGACCCAGTTGGCATCCAAGTCGAAGAAATCAACTGCTTAAGCTTTTTCGTTATTTTCAGTTTCTTCTTTTTGTGTTTTTTGAACGAGATTTTGTTCCCTTTTCTCAAGACAATGGATAGAGTTCTATGTTGGTCTTATCAATCATTAATCATGGTTACTAGAATCATTTTATCTTATTCTATTTGCTTTCTGTTATGCCAGTGAAATCTTTCGTTAAAGTCTCTTATTTTCTTTCTATGTTAGTTAAGTCTTTCGAAATTGAATATTAAAAGTTAGTAAATCAGTATGTGCGATAAAGGTGACTGAACAAACAGTAAAATATATTTGGTTCTTCAAAGCTCTTCTTTAACTTCTAAATTTTACCAAGAGACTCATTTACTCGTTTCTTTCGTTCTTTATACAAACAACTTGTTCGTGGAAAATAGACATTGGTTTGTTGGATCTTCACGTCATCTCTCTTTCTCGTTCTCAATCGCTAGAACAATCGGGTCGTCCTCAATGTCCAAGTCGCTCTCTTCCTCTTCGTACTCGTCTAGCTCACTGATCATCGTCTGTTTAACCTTCTTCCTCGACTCTCTCCTATGCTTCTTCGGCTGTAGCCTTGGTTCAGCTTGTTTCACACCCATCCCTCCCACTTTGTACCTGTCTCATTGATTCTATGATTAGTCCACATTCAGACTTGCGACAATAATAAAGCCTGTTGTTTCCAAACAGTTACCTAACATCGCCTTCCCGCTTGGTTCCAAAAGTCCTAAGTTGAAACTCCTCTCTGACTCTGATCTCATCAAGGAGTTGTAAGTAGTAAGGATACCTTTCCCATTCTCCTTTCACAACACATCCTGGTTCCCCAATATGCAAGCAATCTTTGAATCCACATTTCTCTTCCTCTATCATTTTCCTTATCTAAAAGATGTATCCTTCACAATCAGTCTATATGCGAAGCCAAGAAACGTACTATGGAAAATGATATGAGCGCAAGACAAAGGGTACAAACCTCAGGGAAACACAAGGCAAGTGAATGCTTGGTTACTTTCAGTAAACTAGGCTGGTTAAACCCAGGAGTATCAGCTAGATAACCACCTTCAGTAATCGGCAGCAGCGATACATTCCTAGTTGTATGCTTGCCTCTACCACTTCTAGTTGAAACTTCACCAACTCTCTGATCTTCAAACCACTTATTACCTATTATCTGAACATATAACAAAAAGTTCAAGTCTAGAGAATATGTTCCAAAAAAAGTTCACCTCTAGAATGAAAAAAAAAGAACCTTACAGGCTCAAACCAATTCTCATCTTCAACTCCACCACCAGAGTTACTCCTCAGTACATTGATCAAACTCGACTTCCCAACACCACTAGGTCCAACAATCACAGAAGTCTGATCCCTCAAAACAAAACCAATCGCATCAAGCCCCTCTTTAGTTCCCACACTACAAAAAAACGGTTCATAGTTCCACCCACGCAGTCTCTTCTTCCAAGCTTCCATTTCCTGCAAATCCAAAACATCATTCCCTCTCTAATCAAGAATCCAAGATTCAAAAAAAACAAGAGTTCCACCTCTTCACTAATAAGTTCACATTTGTTCAAAGCAAGTGTGAGTGGAATCCCAGTGGACTCAGCCTCCACCAAGAACCTAGTCAACGTAAACGGCTCCAACTTCGGCTGATCAAGCGAGAAAAGAACAAGCAAGTGATCAACATTCGCCACGGGAGGATCAAGAATCTCCGAACGACGCTGAAACACATTCTCAATCATCCCTCTCTTATCAACCCAATCGATTGATCCAACGAGAACCTTATCCCCAACCAGAACTCTCCTCCGTATCTTCTTCAGCACTGCTCTCACCACACAAAGCAACTCAACACCGTTACGATCGTCTTCACTTACGTCACCATCGTCTTGGACGACGACGCGCATGAAGTTCGCCTGAGCGGTGGCGACGGTGCCGATGGCTTGGGAGGGTAAGAGGGGAGGCTTGTGGTCGGGGGAGNAACCTTATCCCCAACCAGAACTCTCCTCCGTATCTTCTTCAGCACTGCTCTCACCACACAAAGCAACTCAACACCGTTACGATCGTCTTCACTTACGTCACCATCGTCTTGGACGACGACGCGCATGAAGTTCGCCTGAGCGGTGGCGACGGTGCCGATGGCTTGGGAGGGTAAGAGGGGAGGCTTGTGGTCGGGGGAGAGAACCGGAGCTAAGGAGGAGGAGGAGTAGTCTTTGGCGATGTGCTTGGCTCTGAGCATGTTTTTGCTCGGCTGCGGTTTTCTGGAGACATCGGGGTTGTTGTCTCGGCGAGATGAGAGTGTGAGGAGGTGGAAGCTGCGGCGGATTCCGAGTTGAACTCCGCATCCGCCGTGGTGAATTGATGTGCGACGGAGGAGGAGAGGAGAAGAGTGGCGGATGATGGAGATAGATGACGTCAGCATTTGTGGAATTTCTAGAAGGAATGGCTTCGCTGAGAGGCAGTTACGAGTGTTGAACGTATTCTGGAAGTGATGATGGAAAAATGATGATATAGAATGGGCTTTCTTATGGGCCTTAAGCCCAATTTTTATTTGTATAGGTTAGCTTAGTGGAGATTTGGGTCGTTTTAACTTTAAGAGGATCCGTACTTTTGTAAACTATGTAACGAACTAGTTACGTATTTGGGTTATGTTCGAAGGGTTTGTTTGTTTCGGGTAATTTAGTTTTCTGTTAGTTTGGTTGCCATAAAGATGCCAAACTGCATAGAAAATTAAGTTCGGTTCGACATGGTTAGCTTGGTTGATTAAGATTTATAACAAAATTATAGCAAGAGTTGTTGTATTTTGATCTGGTTTCCCAAATTATCTTAAATTTGAGTAATAGATTTGTTCAAAAAAAAAAGAAAGGTATGTTTGATATGTGGGAAGAAAAGAAAACTCGTGATGTGTGTATTGTTGTCGGTCCAAAGACTTTCAAATATTTCATATTAGGCAACCTTACCTACCGCCGAACAAGAATTAAATCTCACAAAAAGGTGGTTGGAGCATTGTATGAAATTCTCTTCATTCGTGAAAATGATTAGATGTTTTTGTTATTAGGGTATATACTATCCCCACTCTACAATATAGTATGGTGATGCCTATGAGTAAACTTACAAACAATTAATTTGATTATTTATGTCGTCTAAAAAATTCTTTACAGTTTAAAAATTGTTGAGTCAAAATAATTTAAGGATTATGGACCACCAAAAAGTGAATTTTAAATATCGACCGAATGATACTGTTTCGAATGGTGAACTGGTCACTAAATTGATTTTAAAAAACTAAAATCAAGCTAACGTCTGAGCATAACTAAATAGTTGTTACACCTTTGGTCAAAGATTTCCAAGAAATCCAGAAAAGGAATGGAAAGTTATCTATAGTCTGAGATGACTCACAGCCATGTAACATATGGGTTTGTTGATGTTTTTGATATTGGTTTTGTTGATTATTCTAACCAACAATTGGGACATATAATTTTAGTTTTACTCGCAAATCAACACGAACCGTCCTTAAATGGTTAAAATTTGTCAGCATCACACGGATAAAGTAAGCGTTGTTAGAAAAAAAGAAAAGAAATGTAGCGATCGCTTTCGGGTCGCCACTTTTAGATCCATAATTAAATGACAGTCCTTCTTTTCTTATGGTGGGGTGTTTAAGTCTAACCTCACAAAGTTGTTTGCTTTGTCTTACTTTTCAACTTTAATGGACCTAATAACTGAGAAAATATCTCTTAATTTCTTAGGTTTTTCACAATTGACATCTTAATACCAAATTATTATTTTCGTGGATTAATTCTATAACTAAACATTGACTATACAAAATTTAAAGCAAAATCGTTAATGAATAAATGAAAAATCAATGCTTTCATCCATTTTTTAGTGATTAACTATTTAAATTTTGTGTAGTCGATGATCATTTGAGGAATAAATATGTACACAATATTTGAATATTTAAATATGCTGATTGAAAATATTTAAGAAATAATGCTATTTTCGATTATGATCTATTTAAGTTTTTAAAATCATCCAAAAATTATTACAAAGAATTAATCAAAGAGGAAATTATACTAATGTGTTTTCGAAATTTCTGAATATTTAATATAAAGAACCATTCGAGGAAAATTCATAGAAAAACTGTTGAACATAAACATTGTGATAAAAGTTGGAATCCACCAAATTTAACATCAGAAGATTGATCAAGAGATTCCACACTTTGTCAAAGTTCTAAAATTTAAACAAATAAAGCAAACATCATGACTATGGATGTTGGACAATGATGTAATTGGTTCAAATAATAAAACTTGGACTAATGGTTATTTCCTGAATCTTGAGAGTTTGGACACAGATAGTGATTAAAGTTCATGCCTGTCTTAAAGTGTCTCGCTTCATGGAGTAAATGGTTAAATCTGTGGGCTTTTAGTAAGGTAAGTCGAGGCTTAAATTATTTTATGTTGTGGTGTAGTATATAATTAATGAAAATATGAAATGTATATTTATACGAAGAGAATTTTTTATTTGTAGAGAAAATCGCATAAAGTTCGTCAAAGTGATATGTACTAACATTTAACTAGCAATTTTATTTATCAAAATGATATTTGCATCACATATAACTTCAATGTTTGATGAGACAGTAAATAAGGACTTTAATTTTAGAGTGATTTAGTGAAATATCCATATTTGAAGCTCAAATTAGTAAAATACCATTGATTGGACATAAAGGATATTGACACAACCATTTGGCAAGGAAATGCTGAGAATGTCTTTTCTCTTTCTTCTCATTAATACGAAGCGTAAAAATATTTGTTAACATATAACACTTCTGTTAACGTTTACAATATATGTTAACAGCCAACACATTTATTACTGCGAAGCGTAAAAATAATTGTTAACAGTTAACACTTCTGTTAGCGTTTACAATATTTGTTAACAGCAAACACATTTATTAACGCGAAGCGTAAATATAACTGTTAACAATTAACACTTCTGTTAACATCTACAATATTTGTTAACCGCTAACACGACGTCGAATCTAAAACCCAGAAAATGATATCATCAAAAAATTGAGGATCCAACGCCACTTATGAAAAAAATAATGAAATTTAAAATTTAATTGTATATAGAATAATAGAGATTTGTAAAATAATTAGGGATTGGAGAGAAAAAAAGGTCAAAAAATTGAGGATTCAAAACCACTTATGAAAAAGTAATAAAATTTAAAATTTAATTGTATATAGAATGATACAGATTTGTAAAATAATTAGGGATTGAAGAGGAAAATAAAAAAAGGAGAAGATGTCAAAGAAAGGAGAGAGAGTGTAGAGAAAGGCAAAATGGTCCAAAAAAGTGATTGTCACATCATGGGCAAGTCTCTAATTATAGGTGTCAAATAGGACACTTTAGCCAATCTATTATATTAAAAGAGAAGTCATAACTCACTTCATGTGTGATTTTTAAGTTTGGACTATCTTTAGAATTTTTTTATAACATAACATCATTATAATATATTTTCATATCTTTAATTTTTATTTGAAATATAAATAAATAATTTTAAGAAAAATCTAACAAAATCTTTAAAAAATCTTATAGAATCTTTTCAAGATATAGTTTCAAAAATTATTTGATTAAAAATTTAATTATCATAAATTATAATTAAAATTATGTAATATACTTTTAACAATATCGCAAAATTTTGTTTATGTATTATGTAGGTCCAATTTAATTTACTTTTATATATTTAAAATTTAAAAATAAAACAAAATATATAAATTAATAATGTTACATAATAATTCTTTTAAAAATTCTTACAAAAATACAAATTAATAAACCTTATCCCCAACCAGAACTCTCCTCCGTATCTTCTTCAGCACTGCTCTCACCACACAAAGCAACTCAACACCGTTACGATCGTCTTCACTTACGTCACCATCGTCTTGGACGACGACGCGCATGAAGTTCGCCTGAGCNAATTAATAATGTTACATAATAATTCTTTTAAAAATTCTTACAAAAATACAAATTAATAAACCTTATCCCCAACCAGAACTCTCCTCCGTATCTTCTTCAGCACTGCTCTCACCACACAAAGCAACTCAACACCGTTACGATCGTCTTCACTTACGTCACCATCGTCTTGGACGACGACGCGCATGAAGTTCGCCTGAGCTGTGGCGACGGTGCCGATGGCTTGGGAGGGTAAGAGGGAAGGTTTGTGGTCGGGGGAGAGAACCGGAGCTAAGGAGGAGGAGGAGTAGTCTTTGGCGATGTGCTTGGCTCTGAGCATGTTTTTGCTCGGCTGCGGTTTTCTGGAGACATCGGGGTTGTCTCTTCTCGCTGAGAGTGTGAGGAGGTGGAAGCTGCGGCGGATTCCGAGTTGAACTCCGCATCCGCCGTGGTTAATTGATGTGCGACGGAGGATGAAATATATTATGAAAGCGTGATCTTTATTCATGATACAAGAAGTGTATATATACAACATAAGAAAACCTATTCTAGTTTAGACAAAGATTATGTATATATCTAATCCCATAGATATCGGGAACTTATGTTTATCCCTTTACTCCCCCTCAAGTTGGCAATGAGGAATTCCGAATACCCAACTTGAACAACAAGTACTGAAATGTGGGTGTAGGAAGAGCTTTAGTGAGAAGGTCTGCAGGTTGTTCCTTCGTAGAAAGGTGTACTAGAGTCAGAAACTTGGCTTTAACTGCATCTCGAGTTGTGTGACAGTCATTCTCGACATGCTTTGTTCGTTCATGAAAGACTGGATTTGTGGCAATGTGAATAGCAGGTTTACTATCACAGTGCATGCGTATTGGCGCTGGGTGCGTAAAGCCAAGCATACCAAGAAGCCGTTTAAGCCACTTGAGCTCGCAAGTAGTATCAGCCATAGCCCGATATTCGGACTCAGCTGAAGATCGAGAAACAGTCCTCTGTTTTTTCGTTTTCCAGGACACAAGAGAGTCTCCAAGAAACACGACGTAGGCACTGAGAGAACGTCGTGTAGAAGAGCATGAGGACCAGTCCGCGTCACAATAAGCCGTAATCTGCATATTACACTTAGACCCAAGCATGATCCCTTGATCAGGAGTACCTTTCAAATATCGTACCACACGGAGAGCTGCTGTCCAATGATCTTCAAGTGGCTTCTGCATAAATTGAGAGAGTATATGGATAATATAGCTCAAGTCAGGACGTGTGAAAGTAAGATATATCAACCGGCCGATTAGTCGACGATACTTAGTAGGATCTTCGAGAAGTTGGTGAGAATTAGTCTTATCCGCCATGACAAGCTTGTGATTTAGTTCTGTAGGTGTCGAGAACGGCTTAGCCCCGAGCAAACCACACTCCGTGATGATATCTAATGCGTACTTACGCTGAGACACAAAGATACCAGCCGGACCTCGAGCAACCTCTAAGCCGAGAAAATACTTGAGCTTGCCCAAATCCTTCATCTTGAAGCATTTATGAAGATAGTTCTTAAACCTTTGAATAATGGAGATAGAATTCCCAGCAATGATAAAGTCATCAACATATACTAAGATATGGAGACAGATGTTCTTGGTGTTGTTGACGTACGAGAACAGGGAGTTGTCTTCATGACTTTGCTGAAATCCGAATTCAAGAAGTGCTTTGCTTAATTTAGCAAACCAACACCGAGGAGCTTGTTTTAAGCCATAAAGAGCCTTCCTTAACCTGCATACTTGATTCGGTTTCTCAGTTTTAAAACCTAGTGGAAGCCGCATATATATTTCTTCATCTAAATCACCATGGAGAAAAGCGTTGTGTACATCCATCTGATGAACCTCCCAACGCTGAGCTGCAGAGACCGCCAAGAGGAAACGAA